GTTTCCAGGAAACTTGGAAATTTTCACGGTTGAACGATATACATATAATTAAGCATAAAACCGAATGAGATGGAGCCGCCATTTACAGAGATTTACTTCGAATATTTGATAGTTATTTTTCCAAGAATTCACTAAAAAAAAATTTCAAATTATAAATAAAACTCACTTGAATCCTCCATAAAATGTTCATGCAATGCACCTCAGAAAGCCTAAGTAACCATCAAGCCCGATAATAATCCACTAATCACTCTTTTTGCAAAACAAGGTTAGTATATGGTGTCCAAACTTTTTATCAGTCATATTTATGCTTTATATTGCAAAGAGGGCGCACTTGTTAGTTACTTGGGTAGTCTTGAAATACTATATTGTTAGAATTATTCATAATCATCTCCATATACTCTTGGAATTAACTTTGAAATTCTTTCAAAAATCCCTCATAATTGGTTTGAAATTCTACCCTCAAAATTCGATTCCCTTGGTAGTTTTCATGGAACTGTTTCGGAACTCCCTTCAGAATTACCTCGAAATATTTTTTTTTTATTTTCTTGGCATTTGCCCTAGAACTAATCAGGAATTATTCTCAGATAAGTTAACTTATTTGGAATATTCGTTAGAAATAAACCAGGAATCCTGCACAATCGTCATGGAATTTTCCTCAGATCAACCAAAAAATTCAACTCTGAACTCCCTTTGAAATTTATTTCAAGCTCTTCTCAGACTTATCATGGAATTCTACATTTGACATGGAGGTCTAGTCAAAATTTCCTTAGAATTCATTCCATTGGAATGTTTCACTGAAATATGTTGTTGTTTTCTGAAACTTCTCTGTTGAAATTCTCAGATATTGCCAAGTTTCTCAGAGCTTCATCATAACATTTTAGGAAGAAGTTCAGGTAACATGTGAATAAGTTCAAAGTCCATCTTAAGATGTTAAAAACCATCTAGAAAAGATCAGGAATACTCAAAAGCAATACCGGTTAGGATCAGGTAGCATCTAAAAAAATATAAACCACGTTCCTAAAAGGCTCAGGAAGCTCCTTTAGACATTAACATTGAGGGATTAGAGGAGTTTAAGCCTAATCAAGTGAAGTTTAGGTAACTTCAATCAAAAGCATAGCTATCTAGGGAAATTAAGAAATTCAGGGAAATTTTCAAAAAGTTCAGGAAAATCATCTATTGAATGAGCATAAACATGATTGACCATCCACGGTTGCTACTCCGTTACCAGCGCCGACCACATTAGAATGCAAGTCAATTAGAGAAAGGGTAGGAATGAAATTATCTGCACTTCAGCAAGAAATCACTGAGATAGAAGGGCTAAAAAAGATAGCGATAAGAATTTGATTGAACCCACGAGCTTCTGCTCAGCAAGAAAAAAGGTCGCACTGAGGTCACCGAGCCCCTTTATAATATTCACTTATGATCAAATTGATACTGTAACAATTCAAACCCACGAAAACGCGAGATCCGGGATTGATAGTTCTATATCCGTTATTATATGAAACCGAACATCCTTGTTCATATTCACGGTTGTCACAGACAGGACGGCTTTGTTTAAGGGCGAATCAATAGAACATTTCAATACTAATTTCACATGGAAGAGGAGTACCTTTGCTTTGGTTTGGTGCGTGTTTCAGCAATACTGATTTTATTTAACAATAATGTTTTCTCTTCCAAGAACTAGGTATAAAATGGCATACATATCCTCCGCATAAATTTTTCGGAATCTGTGGGAATACGGAGCAAATTCAAAAATAGCAGTATAAGTATATGTATGTTTGAGCAATCAAAACCTTAAATGATCCATAAATAATTGATACATTTCCAATTTAAAATCTAACAGTAGCAATCAAAAGTCTTGAGTGCTCATTTTGATGTTTTAAGTATTCATTTTCAGTTTTTTATTGCTCCTTTTAGATTTTGAATTGGAAATTTATTAATTATTTATGGATCATTAAAGGTATTGATTACTCAAACCTATGTTTTATATTGCTATTTTTGAATTTCCTGTTGCTTTTTTTCGAGGTTTTACCAGTGAAACATTTAAATTCTATTGCTAACCTACCGAAGCAGGTTTATTGGTATTTTTATATTGAACTATTGGAGTTATCCCTTCTTCTAGAAATCGTTTATTAGGATGCCGTTTTGTAAAGCCTAGCATGTTATTGGCTCTGTTTATAGTTGTCTCATAATGATCAATAAATGTAAGTTTAAAGTCTAAAATAATACTAAACTCCCTAACTTTTCAGCAAATCAATTGTAATTTTCGTGTTTGTGTATTTATTCTCGAAAAATTCGCCTTTAACTTTGGCGCTTTCTAAATTTTCTTAAAATATCTATATAGGGAAAATGGATGTAATGTCAGCCTAAATGCCCCTCATTTGGGCCCATAAATAAATTCAGCAATCGACTAAATTTTCAATAGTGACAAAAATATCCATTAGTACCGTTCCAATGACGCGTTCATCTAGATAAAATTGATAAATAGCAGATTTTTAGCGATGGGTCCAATCTTAGATCAATAGGCCAACAGTAGGGCCATTTCCCCTATTTAAAAATGACCCTTACAGACTTGGAAACTGCTAAACCGATCGGCGTGAAAATTTGTATGCATAGATTTTTGGGGCCTGTAAAGCTTTTTATAATGGTTCGAGATCACTCCCCCCCCCCCCTCTGTAAGGAAAGGGGAATGGGTCCCATGCAAATGAATCAGAAAAATATAGTATGATTTTTAAATCTGTGCATAAACTCAAGCCAATATTGAATTCCGAGCAAGGCCGGGCACACTCAGCTACTTGTAAATAAATATCAAAACGATATAATGGTGACGTAGGGCTACGTGGTCTTATATAATAAATGTTATTTGTAAACTGCAGCAGGAGCTTGTGTTTTGTGTATGAATAGGAATTTGAGCAGGGTTCTCTCTGTTTATATTCTTTAGTATGACTATGATTGCCCTGAAAAGAACCTTTTCATATGAATTTTAGTTAGGACATGTTCAGAAATTTAACTCTTTTGGAAAACCTTGGTGGCCCTGAAAAGGGCCGATGTTAGTACAGGCGTAAAGTCTTTGGAATATGATGATGACGTGTAGGCAGCTGGATCAGCAAATCGTACAGAATTGCAACCAGCAAGTGTAACCCAAGAACCAAAAGCGGTGCGATGCTAGTTCTCATTGCTATGACGACAACTAAATTAAGAGGCTTAGAAGCAAAGTGGTGAAAGCCAATTCTCTTCATCGATTTCCTCTTTTGATAACTATGGCTTCACTAACCTTTTTCACACTATTTCTGCTATGCTCTTCTATCCAGAACAACAAACATATCAATAAATGGGTTTTGCCGTCGAGTTTTTAACGAAACAGAAAGTCTATGAAGTGAATCGAACAAAATCACTTGTACCCCTGCTTCCAAGTTTGATTACAGGATTACAACTCTGGAGATCATTTTGTGTGGTCGTTGTGGGCGTGTGGTTCTGAATATGGCGATGAGTGTGCAAAATGTTTCGCAATTTCATCCTCCCTATTTGCACATGCCTGAAGCTCGGAGGCGAATGCCCCTTCAAGTCGTCTACTAACGACTCTCTGATGACTGTGCTGGGGAAGTAGCAATGCTACATCGACATGTTTTGTCTAGAAACGATTCTTTGATGACTGTTTTGGGTAAGCAGCATATGCATGTACGTAATTGGTGGATTTGTTAGTAATTTTGACGCTTTTGTACAATGCTTGACATTTACTACTTTTCAATAGTTACTTGTTAAAAAAACTGGCTATCGATGCGTAGAAATATTTCTGATCGATTGATGATAAAATTATTGAAATTGGTCGATGGGCAACTGAGTTAATAACGTTCAAAATCTTTCATAGTACCGTTACATGTTCCTTATTCAGTATTCACAAAGTGTAAAACTTAAAAAGGAACGTAGTCCTACGTAAAAAAAAATACGCGTAAAAATATCTATTTAAAGAGTGACGTAAAAAGCAGAACGAAAGGTCTGCTTTTACGGTATTTTATTCCTAACTTTTTACCATCATGATATAGAAAAAATGTTTTTGCACGTAGATTTTTTTATGAAACAACACAAAAATAAAAATAGATTTTCTTGGATTTTTTGTATTTTTTGTTATTTTTAGGAAAAAACATAAATGTTTCTCTGGCGGCGGTTAACTTCGAGTAAAAGCCATTGTTTACGTTTGGTTGATCCGCCTTTTTCAAATGTTGGTCTAGAAATAACATTTTTTTTAGTGAAAATCCATCCATCGTTCGTGGATTGTTGTTCATGTTTGCATACACAAAACGAAAATCAATTATTTTATTCATGTGTCACTTATACATTTTTAAATAAAGATTTAAAAAAAACGTATACATTTTTGCCAAAACATCAGCCTTAAACATTCCATAAGACAAACCACATAGGTCCTATAAGAACGCATAAAAGGTATGTGTTGCCGCTTATACATATCATTTGCAACATGATCTTCATAAACTTTTTGAAAGGCATCTGCTAATATTAGTTGACTTATACATTTTATGAATAATCAGCAATAGAAATTTGCCAAAAGGTATAAGGAGATTTCTATCCGTGTAGGATGCTGCACACTGACGTCACGAATGAACGCGATTGAATTGCATTCGTCAGTTCGATATCCAATGGTGGTTTATTCAGCTTTGCCTGTTAGTCTATTCAGTTGAATTTGAGTTTTAAATAAAAAGAATCAAAATATATGTTATCCGACTATGTTCTTTTTAAAAATCTTTCTTTCTTAAAAATCTAAAAAAAAAACAGTTGATACAATTTTTTAGTATTTTTTCTAAGTCCAAGTAAACAAACTACCGCCAGATGTAAATAAAGGGTTGACCCTACGGTGCAGCTCCATATACGGATAATTCAGAATTCCTTGTAAAACACCCACTACTTCTTAAGGATTTCCCATTTTCCTCATCTGACAACGTACGTGCCACAACTATTTAATACCCATTTTGCAAAACTTCTTCCAGGGAACCTGTCCACAATGCACCATCTGCACCGCACCAGAAGTCCACCATGAACCCGCAGCATCCCGTGATGAACAAACTTCAAACGCACATGGCGGTAGGCTATCGGCAGAAGCAGCCCGTTGCCGCGACCTCGAATCGCTTGGAACACTACGTTAACCCCAATCATCTCTATGGCACCTACATCCAATTCGGACAGGCCTCAAGCCCCCTCCAGTCAGCGAAATCCAAATTCATCAGCCAACTCGCCAGCCATCCTAACTTTGATGCACAGCTCAAAGGTTTACTGCATGCTGGCGTTGGTGGTGGCTACCAGCAAACATTTTCCCAGATCAAGAATCTCCAAAAGATGAACTACTTCCAGCAGCAGAGCAAGCTGCAGCCCTACTTCAATCACATCCCGTCAGCCGAAATAGATCTCCCGAAGAAGTTGCATTCTTCCGTCGAGAAAGATTCAACCAAGACCCCTGTCACCCCGTCTACTCCGCTTTTCCCGCACATCCCTCCAAGCGTCCTGACTCCATTCTTCCAGCAGGTTCAGCAGCAGCAGCAGAACAAGTACGGCTTCAGTCTCAAGACTCAACATCCGGCTCCCCCAGCAGCATCTCCCAATCCCACGCAATACTTCCAAGAGAAGCCTCACAAGCATCAACATCAATTCGACTCCCATCAGGTCCACCCAACCCCGCTCCAACACCACGGCACCGAATCGTTTGGATTCACCGCTTACCAAAATCATCAACAACCCCCTTTCGAACACAAACCTCATGAGGCAATAAAATTCAATGAAAACAAGCACATATTCAACGAAATTCGCGATGAATACAGCAAGAATCTAGTCCCACCACCTCCAAGTACCCAGCAAGCATTCATACCCACTATCATCAATCACCCAGAACCAAGCAAAGACCCCAAAGAGATCCTCAACAAGTACAACATCAAATCACACTCTCCACTTCAGGACGCCAATCGCTTCAATTATGAATCATACGCCAGACCTAGTGCTGCATATCATACTCCTACGACAACTCCAAGCACGACATTCTATCCTTCTTCTACCTCATCTCAATCCCCACCAAGCACAACCCCACGCCAGCCATTCTATGGGCATACAATCACCTTCGGCGGTGATCACAATAGCTTCAACAGTCAGCTGATGGTTACTCCTGTCAGCGACGACTGGATCGGTCGAGACAAATTCATCACCACCGAGAAACCCAACGTTTTCAAAAACCTCTTCAGGCAACCAGATAACGAATACAAGCAGCACAAGCTGATGCATCCGAGCTACACTGGGCTACCGCCGAACAAACGGCCTTCGCCAACAACTCCCCTGTCGACAGCTGATGCCTCCACGGAAGAACCTGTTTTCACGCACAGTTTCTTCACAATTGAAGATGCAATCTCCGACCCAACGCTCATCCCACCAAACAATCGCAACAAGTACAAGTACACAACTGAAGCTGAAGAGAACCGACTGGAAGACTCTCAATCGGAGATTGTCACCATTGGATCATCATTCTTAGATTCCCTGGAATTGGGCACAACCACCCCGTATCCAATGTTCAAGGCCAAGGGCCGAAGACGCCGTCCAAAACCATCCACTGAACATTCGATCGATTCCGATTCCACCGAAAGTCCAGCGGAGCGTCCAAACCGCAACCGATTCCGCTTCCGGCCACGACCTACAACGGAAGCCGAAAACGAACTGAACACGACCGCTCCTCCGCCTACTTCCTTCCTTTCGGAGGATAGTTCTCTGAAAAAATTACGTAAGAAGCTTCCAAACAACTTCAGTCGTAATCGATTGCCATCAAACAACAACCGCGACGAATCTGATCCAGAGCAACATGAACACCCTGTTACGCAAATTTCACCGGTGACGACCACCGCCGCGTTCAGTACACCAGCTTCTTTGTTCAACTTCAACAGCGACAACAACGGACTGCGATCGCGTTTCCGTCCAAGCAGTGGATTCGACGTCAAACCAACGCGAACGAGATCAAAATTCAGTGACGATTTCGAAGATCCATTCAAATCTTCTGAGATTACTCGCGACAGCGAAAACACTCGGCTGAACTTCAAACTGCCTAACACCAAACCAAGCCTACGGCTACCGTCATCGTCCCCATCGTTCGGACCCAGTACGTCATCAACCTTCACCAGTTTCACGTCAGACGAGACCAGCGGAGAAGTCAACCGAACCAAACCCGAATTGAACCGTCCCCGCTTCAGCATCAAAGAATACCGAAACAAGCCCAACCGAACGATGTCATCCACCAGCACCACAACAGCGTTTGGATCGTTTGATCTTGAAGTTACAACTCAACCGGCGACGAAGCTGCGCTTCCCAACTCGGAATCGATTCATGCTGAACTCTCGGCAGAACAAAACTACCGAATCGAACGAGGTTATCTCCCCCAGCTCGGGTTTCGGAAGCAGCATCATCGGCAGCAGCAGCAGCAACAACAACAACAGCACGACTACGGAAAAGTTAGCAGTGGCTAATGAGACCACTACCACGAGGACTTCGTTCCGACCGACGGGAACCAGAAACTACAACAGGTTCACGGTGAAGAAGGCCACTACGGAGTCACCCCAGCAGCAGCCCTCGTCGACGGTTACGTCCCGAGTGGTGAACCGTGGACGGATTCGGTTGCAGGATACCACCACTCAAGCGGTAAGTTCTGAGAATGTTGTCAAGATTGTTTGCCCACTGCACAGTGCACAATGGTTCCAAAGCGGTATTTCAGGGAGACAAAAATGTTTGCGTCCAAACCGTCAGTTTTAGGTATGGTAAATGACGGCTTCGGCAATACCTTATTCTATTATCGTCCAAACAAACACAGTCCTTGAGAGCTCTATGCTGCTTAGATCCATAGGCCAACATTAGAGCCATTTCCCCTATCTGAACTTTTTGATCGTATATTTTTTTGAACATGTTTGCAAAGAAACCCAGGTTTAGAATAGGGGAATTTACGTCTTCTCGTCAATCTAAGCAGCGCCCGCACTTCTATTAGCATTTCCTCAGGATCACGCTCACATATGACGTGTTTGTGTGTTTACATTTATTCGCTGCTTGCTTCTATCCATCAATTCGACAGAATTGTCCAAAACTGTTTGAAAGCGTTTTTACAACGTGAGTGTGACTATTGTCAGCACCCTTTTTGTCTTTGGCAAACTTTCCATTTGAACTTCAGCTGTTCTATTATCGGAAATTTCATACAAAGACAAATCAAGAGCAAATTTTCATTATGTCGTAAGTAACATTCGCACCAATCCGAGAAAAATAAAGTTTTGTTTTGATGACCGAAAAGTTATTCCTATTTCCAAGTAAACACATATAATCTCATAGTGATAGCAATGTTTAACATATTTAGCAGGGTTTTAATCATACAAATGCAAATCGCTAGCTTTCATGCTAAAAAATACTGGTTTTTGAGTCAAAAGTTATTATACGTCGTTTGGTGGCCCCTATTGTTACTTAAGTCAAAGTGTATTTACCAGGATATTCGGGAGAATTATCAATTACGTCTCCTTACGTGCAGCCCATTCATCATTTCAGTACCGCCGAAATCATCTTAGCAACAAACAGTTCGATTTATTCACTTTAATAATGAGAAAGCGAAACGACGAAAGTACACTTTTCACGGGTTTCTCAGTGCTGTTACTTAAGGCAAACGGCATCTCCATAGAATTTGAAGGAAAAATACAGTGAAATTTACGTTTTATTTTTTGTGGCCGAAAACAGTCTATTGGTGCCGAAGCCGGCATTTACCCTATCCTTGTGACCGAAAAATCAATATAATCAAACAAAATTCCACTTCTCCCTTTAACCCAGACACCGAACCGCACCTCCATCCCAGGGACCCTGAACAGCAGCACCCTGGCAAACCGTCGCCCGGCAAAGATCAGTCTTCGGCAGCGAATTCAAAACTACAACCGCAAGAAGGACTCGGATGCCGTCCTCAAGGACCAGGAACAGGAAAGCAACACCCTGCTGTACTCATCAGACGAAGTCAAATCCGCCGACGACCTTTCGACGTTGGGCACGATCGACACGCAGAATCGTTACGAAGACAGTAGTAACCCAGCGCCGTCGTCAACCAGCACCAGTACTACCACGACTGAAGGCTACCGGCATCCGGAGACGGCAATTATGAAAATCTCCCCCAAAGACTCGTCGTCGCCCAACGGTTACAATAACAACAACAACGATGGAGATTGGGATCTGAACAGCGCCTCGTCCGATTACTCCAAACGAGTCGTCGAGCTAACGCTCTCGGCTAGCAAGGACAAGGGGTTCAAGTCGGTCAACAAGGGCCTACTGTCGAGGCGGGTCCCCGGGTACTTTACCCTAGCGACCGAAGATCCCATTTTGCCAATCGAGGCGTTCTTTCCACAGGTGAAGAAAGTGAGCGCGTGAGCTGTTGAGTGCGAGATGTTGGGCGTTGATGATGATTGAGCAGTGAGAGTGTCCGAGAATGGGTTGTTTGCGTGCGAGTCGAGTTCAACTATCGCGTCGGTAAATTGGTGATACGTGTGAGAGTGATGATGTATGCGATATCAGATCAATTTTTTTGTTGTGTTGTGGAGTGTGAGAACTGACTCGGTCATGGGTGCAGCTGGGGGGAAGGGGTAATCCAATTTACCACATCCATTGCTAATCCAATAATTTCAGCTGGAAACTGCCGACAGCTGTCAGTGTTGCCAAACTCTCCAATTCTGTACCTAAGCAAACACCTTTATTTTAGTTATAATAATACTCATTTCATCCTGATGATTTGGCAACACTGACATCTCGCACTGTTTCGAAACCATGAACCGAGATGAGTTTTGTGTGTTGTGTAATGAAAGAAGTAACCTGTTGCAGGAATGTTAATTAGAGTCGTGTGGATGAACCCGAAGAGAGCGGTAATCGTTGTCATTATTTTATTTGTTGTCATATGTGGCGGATAGACTCCCATTTAGTCCTACATTTTCAACAAGTACGTTAGTTTTTTTTACACCCTACTATTATGATAAATTATTACCGGTCCACTGTCTGCTTGTCGCCGCCACTGATAATAGGTACTGGTACTGGATGGCAGAAGAGTTTACTAGGTGGGGAGATGAGAGCGAATTACAGCGAGTTCATGATGTTATATTTTAGCTAGGGCAGAGCGGTCAAGAGCATTATGTATTTATTTTAGAGAAAAGTGGAAAACAATCACGTGTACCTTTAGAGCAAAGCAATGATGACTGCACAGTTATACGTTCGGTGCTACGATAATCACCGGTGCAATCCATTCGGGAGGATTTTGAGCGGAAACATAACTCAGAAACGCAGGGGTATTTCATTGCTACTGAAATGGTCTGTAAATTTATTGAATTCATTTCCAACGATAGGTAATTCTATGTACTATGGTAGCGAACTTTTTCATATATGATATAGTCAAGCGAAGCTGACACTAGAAATAAAAAATAAAAACAAAACTTTTAGATGTAGATAACGGAATAAACGAAAAATTTGTAAATACATAACACTGTTGATGATGGTTTATTTCCAGATGACAATCCTTTACAGGTGATATTATCATGCTTCAAAGAGTCGAATCACGAAGTGTAGGTTAAATGTAATTTGAATTAATTTGATGTTCATCGGCTGTTGATCGAAACGAGTACATTTTTCAAAGTTCAACGGTTCAACTGGCCTTTGTGCACAAGGAGCAATTGGCCTCAGTCTTTCTGGATGTTAAGGGCGCATTTGATTCAGTTTCCGTAGACATACTATCAGACAGTCTGCACAGTAGTAGATTACACGGTATTTTTAATAATTTCTTGCATAATTTGCTGTCAGAAAAACAAATGACCTTCAATCTCTACGCAGGACCGGTGATTCAGGAGGATTTGCGAGCGATTATCATCCGTGGACGAACTAGACAGATCATGGTTGTTGCTGATGTGGAAAAAATGTTCCGGCAAATTTGGTCTTGCCTTACGGATCTTCGATTCTTAAGTATATTCTGGCGTGCTTCACCCATGGATGAGATCAAACCCTACGAACTATGTACGGTCACCTACGGAACTAAACCGGCACCATTCCTAGCTACTGTAACCTTGAAACAACTAGCAATCGATGAAGGTCACCGATTTCCTTTAGCGGCCGTTGCTGTGGCAGAGGATACATACATGGATCATGGATGATGTAATAACAGGGACAGATGACATTGAAAGGGCGTCGAGGCTAAGAGCGGAACTGCAGGGTATGATGGAAGCAGGAGGCTTTCATCTACGGAAATGGGCATCGAATTGTTCGAAGGTTTTGGAAGGAATTCCACAGGAAAACTTAGCCATTCCCACCTTAGGTTTGGTTTGGATTCCCGGAACGGATAAGTTGAAATTTAAGTTCCAAATCCCCAAGCTGGTTCCTATTGAACAACTCACGAAACGAAGGATTCTCTCGATTATCGCTACACTGTTTGAGCCAACCGGGCTGATTGGAGCTGTTATCGTTGAAGCCAAAAATTTTATGCAACGCTTGTGGAAACGGTGAAAAACTAGATTGGGATGATCCGGTGCCTTCGAAGGTTAGTGAGAATTGCAGGAGATTGAAGTTGATCGTTGTATAGTTATTCCTTCTGCAGTATCCCTGCAAATTCACTGTTTCTCTGACGCTTCCTTGAAGGCCTACGGAACCTGTTTATACCTACGGAGCGAGGATGCATCAGGACATACCCTTGTTCGATTGTTAGCGTCACGATCAAAAGTAGCACCTTTGAAAACACAATCCCTTCCAAGGCTTTAACTTTGTGGCGCCCTCTTAGCAACTCAACTCTGCCAAAAGGTGAGAAAGGCGATTCGCATCGACGCTCAGGTCTACTTTTGTACAGACTCTACGTGCGTGTTATGTTGGATCAAGGCTATTCCTGCTACATGGACGATCTTTGTGGCCAACAGGGTGTCCAAAATTCAAGGTTTGTCGGAAGGATGTCATTGGGGCCATGTAAGAGGAATCGAAAATCCAGCAGACCTCATATCACGCGGATTGAATCCAGACAACATCATTGACAGTCAAATATGGTGGAGCGGTCCGAATTGGTTACAAAACAATCGCGAACAGTGGCCAAGGCAAAGTCCAGAAACTAGCGAAGAAGGAGAAGAGGAGCGTTGCCGTTGCGACGAAGAGTTTAATGTTTGGTACATATCTAAATTTGATTCATATTATGATCTGATCCGTCGTACTGCTTATTGGCTGCGCCTAATGGATCTTCTCAAACTACCAAAAGAAAGGAGGAAGAAACCGGAATCTTTAACGACAACAGAAATGCGCAGAGCTGAAGGAGTCCTCATTCGAAGAGTGCAAAATAAATCATTTCCCGATGAATGGAAGGCTGTATCAAACGGATCAGCTGTGTCGTCGAAATCACCTCTTTTTTTAAAATGATTTAAATGATTTCAGTTCAACTTGGATGATTACGATATACATTTTTCTAAGTGATTTAATTGCTTTCTTCATCTTTAGGTATGGGCAAAATTAAAAGTTTTTTTTACAGAATTAGTCCCACACTTAGTACAAGGTCGACCACCTTGGTGGGATTGGTTCGTTTTGTTTTTAGAATTTGAAGAGAAACTAGGGGAATTTACGTATTCTCGGCAACCTAAGCAGCGACCTTCTTTCTATAGCCTTTTTCTCTAAGGAACGCACACATATGCAGTATTGGTTTGTTTACAATCTTCTGCTGCCAGCTGCTCTAACAATTTCAGTCGAAAGAATTGTCAAAAACTGTTTTGAAACGCTTTTACAAAGCTCTAATCTTCTCTAGTGAGAGCGAGTATTGTCGGCAACCAGTTTTTCTTCGGCAACCGTTCCATTTGAACTGCATGTAAATCTGCTGTTCTATTATCGGCAACTCGAAATCAGCTACAATTTATAGTGCGTGTGTTTCATTTCAAGAAAACCCTGCTAGATTGCTTTTTCTCAGTGGTAAAAATATAGTCAAATTGAAGCTGAAAGCATAAAGAATCGTTTGCATGCATTCAGCGAAGTGTTTTCGTAAGAAAATCCAGTGAAAATAGTGTTTCAATTTGGGTTGCCGAAAATAGTCTGGCATGCCGAAGCCGTCATTTCCCCTACTTAATACTACTATTTACAGCTTAAAACTAACCTACTCTACTATATACACTTAACCTACTATGTACAAATTGCTTATTAAAGCATGTTCAGAAAGATTGCATTTTTGGATAAATTTGGTTGTCATATCCTCAATTTTGGAATCTACTTTGGGAATTTCTGCCTATTGATGGAGGTCTGCTATTCTTGTGTCGAATGGACGATCTAGGTCATCCTCAACACTCTATTCTGTTTGACCTGGATTTTGTTCCTGTGGGTCTGAGCGCACGATTCCCACACCGGGGCGGCGTAGAAGATCGCGGGGGGTATGATCTGTTTGTAGACAGCCTGTTTGTTTTGCCTTGAGATGCGGGATCTGCGGCAAATGAGCGGATACAAACACCTAGCCAAGGCGGAGCACTTAACTAGGGTTTTCTCTATATGCGAGCGGAACAGGAGCTTCTCATCGAACAACATCCCGAGATAAGTAACATCAGTGGACCACTCGACCCTTGTACCATCCATTATTACGGTACAGGAGGGAGACGGTTTAAGTTTTGGCGATTGTCTGTGAAGGAACATGATCGCTTGGGTTTTCGAGGCGTTGATTTTGATTTTCCACGTGGTGGCATAATCAGTAAAGGTGTCAAGGCATCGTTGGAGCTTGTTCGTAGTTTCACGAGGCATCCTACCCTTAACGACTATCGCGGTGTCATCTGTGAACAGGAAGAACACGCAACCGTCTCCTAGAGGAGGGATGTCCGACGTGTAGATGCTATAAAGGAGTGGTCCCAGCAGACTCCCTTGCGGAACACCTGCTGGGATCGGAAATTGTCCCGAAAGGGAACTATTCAACGACACCCTGAACGACCTTTGCTGGAGGTAGTTACGGGTGATTTTCACAAGGTATGGTGGAAAGTTGGAGTTACAAAGCTTGTATATAAGTCTTACAAGGCCATGGCTGTGGACTTGGATACAGTTTTGTTACTTCGGATGTTATTCATCACCCTCACTAGCTGATGATTGGTGGAATGCCCCTTACGGAACCCGAACTGTTCCGGAAGAAGAATGTCATGTTCCTCCACAAACTTGTTCAGTCGGCTGAGAATCAATTTTTCGAACAGCTTGCTCAGCGCTGAGAGCAGGCTAATCGGTCTGTAGCTTGACGGTAGTGAAGGGTCTTTCCCAGGTTTGTGGATCGGGATGATTTTTGCCACCTTCCAGATGCTTGGAAAGTAGTGCAGCTCCAAGCATCTGTTGAGGATGGCAGCCAGCAGCGAGTGCACCCTCGGGCTGAGATTTTTCAACGCTAGATTGAATATTCCGTCAAATCCGGGAGCCTTCATGTTCTTACTGTATTTCAGCGCTGAGCAAATTTGTTC